ATCACGAGAGTCATAACAGGTTGAAAATTTAATATATAAAGAGCGTCGATAAGAAAGATTCAAAGTTGCACAATGCACAATTGCATGTGCAACTTTAATAAGTTAACTATTGTTACCCTTCTTAATGAGGCCTCCACTGGCGCGTTATATAATATCTGAGCTATAAGTTAAGAAAATTAAACAGGGACGACCACTTTTATTGTGTCATAAATTGGCCGCTCAATATTACACAATAAATATTTATTTCTCCATAATTATGTGTGTCTATGTAAATGCAGAATAAATTTCCGCACACGTTGAAATGTAACGGCTTTTTAAAAAAACAGCTCAAAGCTTTTTAGAGTGACAGCTTGTCATTATTTAGTTCAATTTTAAAACAACAGTATTTTTTAAGTATGAGATGTATATCTAAAGTTAGTTCTTAGTTACAAATAAAGATGTGAGTCAGATTAATACGTCACGGCTTTCGTAGACTTGTCTGACTTTAAACGGTCTATTCTAATCTGCATTATCCTTTCGCTGTAAAGTAAATTAAACAATGCATGCACTAATTTGGTTAATTATGTGCTTCATTCTTTGTGAACATGACCTGAACTTTCTATTCGAAACTGGTCTCAAAATATATTATACTAACAATGCCCGCGGCTCCGCCCGCGTTTAGATGACCCAAAACCAAATAAAATAGCGCTATTGTTATTTTTCAAGATAAGCTCTTTTTAATAGTTTTTGCCTTATTTAGTAACTTACCTTGCTAAAATATATATAGTATCATCGTGGTTTTATTTTAACCAGTTTTTGTATTTTTTCTCAGAAATGAGATATTTTCCCGCGGTAAAATATATATATGTTGATCCGGATAACCACCATACCAAATTTCATCAAAATCCATCCAGTGGTTTTTCCCTGATGCGGTAACAGACAGACAGACGTATTAGTGTACTTAATATTTTTTTCTTAAACTTTGGTCTATCATGTAAAATATTATTTTTATATATTATATATATGATGTTATCGTGTACAATGTATTTTCCTTTATATGTTATAGTAACAAAGGTTCATTTTACAATAAATAAACACACAGTGCCGAATTCAATCTTAGTGCCGCCCCCGGGCAATGTATGAAATGCATTATCGAAATTTTGCATAAAATGGATAAAGTTTCAATAAAATTCAATTTTTTAATTTTTCATAAATGCAAAATACAGTTTTTTTTATTATTCGTTTTCTGGAAAACAAAAAATATTTGCGATAACAGAAGATTTTTTTTTATTTATCCTTCGAATTTTGCCGCCCCTGAAAATTTGCCGCCCTGGGCACTAGCCCTAAGTGCCCCTAATGTAAATTCAGCGCTACTAATATAGTATATCATTCGACTTTCATAAACAATAGTAAAAATATATTTGAAAATTTTATAAGGCATTAGTTTCTTTTTTAGTGGATATATTTAAAAAAAATAGACATGTTTCATATATTTTTATGACTTATAATAGTCAGGAAATATAATATTGTAACCTAAATGTTTTAGACTAAAAAATAAGATTAAAGTAGTCCATAAGTTAGTTTGCATTTAAAGTGTTTTGGTTGTTGAAGAAGTCATAATACATAATAATTAATAGTCAAGTCCAAGGATGTCTAGTGATTTAATTTATTGAAATTCCTCTATTCTCAGAGCAAATTAATATTTTTTTAAACTAACTTTGCTAAGATATTTTAGTTATGCATTTTTGAATATAGTAACAAACGAACAGTAGTAAAGTAAATAAAAACTAAAAAAAAAACCGACTTCCAGGCACTAAAATGTAAAAAATAACCAAACGGAGGTTTTCATTTAGAATAGATACCTAATCAGATATTTTCGAAGTCGGTGCCAGCCGATGCAAAGCAAATCTAATATATTTCGATACATAAAATACATATTTACCTATTAGATATTCATATCTTAAAATATTGTCGGTAGGCACCGACTTCGAAAATATTTAATTAGGTATCTATTCTAAATAAAAACCTCCGTTTAGTTATTTTTTACATTTTAGTGCCTAGAAGTCGGTTTTTTTAAGTTTTCATTTTTCTATTTTTAGTATAGACGAAATAAGCAGGTAATTTGTAAGAAGAAAGTCTTTTAATACAATTTAGATTAAACAATTTATAAAAAAAATATTGTTGATTTTTAAAAAAACCGCTCGACCGATTTCGATAAAATTTATATAGGACCACCTGGGAAGTACGTTTGAAACAAAAAAAATCTAAATCGGTTCAGGCGTCTTCGAGTAATCGGTGAACATACATAAAAAAAAGATTCCGATGAATTGAGAACCTCCTCCTTTTGGGAGTCGGTCGGTAACAAACGAAGTAGTGTGGTAAATAACAAACGAATAAATTTAACTTCAATTTATTTATTTAATTATTGATTTATTGAATTGAATTTATAAATGCATTCAATAAACTGAATAATTTTTATTCTTATTATTCATATAACAGAAAATAAACAAGCTATCGGTATATTTAAAGCAATTAATGTGATTTGTGAATTCTTTCAATATACAAGAAAATGTTGAATTCTTCTGGGCAGATGAAAATTATTGTACATTACTAATGATTCTTTCATCAACCGACTTCGAAAAGGAAGATCTCAATTCAGCCGAAAAATCATATAGTTTTTTTTTTATTTTTGGTACCTCAGAACTTCGCCATTTATTAACCGATATGGATAATTTTTCCTTTGTTTGAAACTGTATACTTCCAATTTGTTACCATTTAAATTAAAAAAAAACCACCCCTAAGGGTAGAAAATTTACTAGTGAAAATTTAACCTACTTCTAATTGTCATATTGACATAAAACTTTGCAAGTGTTTCTATTTCCGTTGACAATGCAGTGGTTCGGATCGTCGATCTGATCTGAAAGTAAACCTAGAAGGTGGATATGTGGAACTCTTCAACGGGTAACAGTGGACACTTTGAGTTTGGGCTTATTTTGTTTGATTTGACAAGTTTAATATGTTAGAATTGGATTTTAGAGCCATATTTTTTAGTGTTACTAATAAAAGCGAATTTTAGTTTATCAGTCTTTATATAAAAATTGGCATCAAACTAACTTAAACGGCTTAAGTGAATATTTTATTAAAATACTTTCTTCTTACTTTGCTACTGCCATGTCAACACTAAAAAGGGAAAAATAAAAACATTAAAAAAAAAAAAATATCGACTGAAAAAGACTAAAAAGCAAAAAATAGCTGATCGATTGTTCTCACTTACTATAGATACCTAATTAAATACTTTCGATGTCGGTGCGAGCCGATGCAAATCAAAGCACACCGACTTCAAAAATATCTGATTAGGTATCTAAAGTAAATGAAAAGTACCTATCAATTATTTTTTACTTTTTTGTATTTTTTTTATTATCACGTCCAATTCGTCACGTCAGCCGTCTTTTTTATTATAATGCGTTATTTTTCGAGAGTAATTGATTGTTTAGATATTTATTAATATCTTATAATCGGGTCTTAACAATTAATATTAAATCTAAATTCATACATTTTATGGTTGATATCGTTTTAGTATAGTTTAACTATGTAATTAGTAAGTCAAAATTACAAAAAAAGCTTGCGATTTTACCTTTGGTATTTCGACTACCGGCTTAGCTCCCAGTTTTTTATTTGCCAATGATATATTTAAAGTATTCTGGGACATTTTGATTTAGTATGAATAAAAGTGCCGCCTTAATTGATTCTCAGATTGGACTCTATATATCTATACATATAATAAAATCGTAACTAAGCCGAATCTGTACATTGAATATTTTTTGGGAAATCTTATTATATAGACATAACTATCGATACAGAAGCCGAATCTATAGTCTTTAGAATTTTTGTCTGTCTGTCTGTTACCGCATCACGGAAAAACCACTGGGATTGTGATAAAATTTGGTATGATGATAGCTGGTTATCCGGGTCAACATATAGGATACTTTTTACTGCGGGAAAATATCTCATTTCTGAGAAATCTATACTAAACGTTAAAACGTAAAAGGCAAATATTAATGTGAAAGAAGTTATATTGTTTATTTATTCTATCAATTGCTGTAATTTAACACTGCTAAACAATTCTATGAAATAGATTTTAAAATAATGAAATACATTTTTAATGTTAACATTTAGAAATACGTTAAATCCTTTCCCATTCAAAGATATTACTTGTATGAATATATTCTACTATTCTAAAAGGGCCTTTATTGTATTCTAATCACGTCTAATACATAAAGGTACTAGTATCTTCACACTGTCGCTTTTTCATCTACTATGTAGGTACTGGTATGTATATAGAGATTAACTAAAGATATATTTTTATTAATATCTAATGTTTTAATAATAAAAATTATCAATATAAAATAATTGGTAAAATAAATGAAATAATCAACGCAAGTATGAGTCAGCGTCTCAAACGTCAAGAAAAGGTCAAGGTTCTATAGGAAATACGACATTTTTCCATAATATTAAGTAACGATTATGTTCACTACGAATATATGTACACTTATATATTTTTTATATATAGTTATAAATAAATTTATAAAACTTTATATTTATAATATTAATTATAATGAAAAATATATGGCTCAAAAACAATATTTCTAAATAAAAATATCCCGGGATATGTCTCTCCGTCTTAGTCTCTCCCATGACCATTATTGCTATAAAGCATTCGAAAGGTCGGGAACCAAAATTCTAACTAAACTCGCGAAAAAATCCTAAAAGATAGTTTTATTTAAAATGTCAAATATTCGCGTAAATCTAAGAAAGTATTATAACAATATTTCTAATATTGTATATTTATAAATTAAAATATAAACTCATCTGTACCAATATTTTTAACACTATAATTATAAATATACATTTATGAGTATTTGTTTATACGACTTACAATACTTAACCTTAAACGTATGTACATCATACATTTATTATTATTTATTAATTTAATTTAAAAAAAAGTAACGTAGAAGACTTACCAAGAAGTAAAAAAGTATTCCCGGCGCCATGGCCCGGGGGATGGCCAGCTCGGCCTCAGCACTGGGTCTCGCTCCAGCAATACAACACAAGTTACAGCCTCACGCCGGCTAACCCTCGAGCTTAATCCGCTAACATGTCCCGCTCTCCAGCGGACAGCTTTTAAAACTAAATTGTGCAAACTCGAAGATGTGCCTCTTATATTACCTCTTACGTCGAATACCGCAACGTATTTGGCATATAGGTTTTGTGGGTGTGTGGGTGTATTTTGACGATGCCTTCGCAAGTATGTGTGATGGTGACATGTGATCCTCTCTGTGTGTGTCAAACGCTATCTGTATCCTTTTAACATAATATTTATTTCTAAGCTTTCTATATCTGTCAATTAGTTGTACTACAGGAAAATTAAAAGTGTATTTAGAACTGATTCTTAGTAGGTTAATTAAAGCATTTTTTAAGTGGTTTTTAGGTTTTGTTTTCAGTATCATGTATAATAACTTGATAGGAAGTTAGTTTTTTTGTTTTTAGCGACTAAGTAAACATTATATATAAATACCTATTTTATTTATGTGTTTCATTTCGATGCTGTCTACTACGTACTCTTTTGTTTGTAATCCTTTTTAGCTTCCAAGTTTTCATTGATATTTCATTGAATATAAATCCTTATTATATGTTTTATTAGATATAGAGTATAAAGGCATAGAGTTAAATATATAACTTTCTATATTCTCCTGACAATAGTGTCAGTGCAATATAAAAAGTTTTGTTGAAATCGGTCCAGCCTTTCATGATTAATACCCGGTAAAGAACGTAACCGTTGATTTTATTATGATTGTATTCAACTTTCTTAACGTCTCACTGCTGAGCACTCCTCTTAATGTGACGAAGATCGGGATGTATGGGTTGGCAGACTTCACATGTATTTTGAATTGATATCTTGATAGATTCTCTCAGACCTTACAATGTATTCCTCTACCGTAAGACAACTGGTAATCATATTGAAAATGCTTCGCACATGACAACACCAGAGGTGCTGAGCCCGGCATTTGATCCCTCCCGCTTCACTTGATTAAACTGGCGCTATTGAGAAACCATAAAACATATAATAAGCACGGAAATTAATTTAAGCCTCTAGGTACGCACGGATGTTCAATTAAAGGTCTTGTACAAATAAAATTTTTTGTTACTGAAAATTTAAAATGAGATTTTGTCTTCTTTGTATGTTGTGTGTATCTTACTTGAGTTTTTAATTGACATATTTTAATTAAACGTTCCATACCATATCTTATACAAAATATTGAATGCTTTTTATTTAATGATATACATATAAATTCATAGTAAAAAAAAACTTAAAAAACGATCTTTTAAATTTTTATTTCTTTTTAGCCCTTTAAAACAAAAGCTTGTTTTTAAAAATGTTGTTTTACTATTAATTTATTTATCTAATTTTTTAGTTAACAATTCATGGTATTTCTAAGTACCGATTTTCTTCTTCTTCCTGCCCATTTCCCAAGTTACTTGGGGTCGTTTACAAGTTACGGTGTGGGTGCACTATTTAATTCAACTGAATCATACTATTGATGTCTCATATGGAGCCAACCCTGGACGCAGCAGCCAAGTCAAGGTTAGATTTTAGATTGAGATATAATAATTGAATGTGTACATAAAATTTCATCTGTACTGTTAATCGTTGGGAATCGTTTCATCTGGAGTCAATCTTAGACGGAGAATCAGATCATAAATATCATGAAAGTCATTTTTACCGGAACTGAACCAATATGTAAAATTTCAACTCTGTAGGATAGGAGGAAGTGGTTCTAGCTTGCAAGATATGACTTATACTAACATACCAACTAATAAACATTGGACGTTATATAAAAAGCTTATAAAAAGGAACTTAGAGAAAACTTTTGTTCTTCGCATTTATGACATTTATCATTAATTATACTTTCAGCTGTTTTAAATTTATAAAATTTAATATACTAATTTACTACATAGTCACTAACAATTTATGAAATATTAGTAATTTACACTCGCTTCGCTCGGGCGTCCCTAGGTATCTAAGATTAGCCGACAAATGCCCGATTTCACCAACATCATTAACGTATGGGATCCCTAGCTTAAAAGTTCCCCTAAACTAGCCCCTAAATTAAATTTCCTTTTACCATCTTCAGAGCCCGTATTTCTAGTTCCTATATTTAGGGGGCATTTTAACATTTAGGTGACCCCTAACTGTCGGTGAAACAGAAACTGTCCCCTAACAGCCCCCTAACCAAGCTTAGGGGAAATCCCTTAAACTTAGGTGACGTTGGTGAAATCGGCCAAAAGAATCTCAAATCTCAAAGGTTATTTTTTTCTATTTTAATTTCTATTATGATTTAACAACGACAAAGACACATTTTATCGAAATATTAAATAGCCTATAGTACTCATCGATAATATATCTTTCTATTAGTAAAATATTTCAAAATCGGATCAATAGCTAAAAACATCATCTACATATTAATTTACAAACTTTTCTACAGTAGACTAATCTACAGTAATATTATAAAGTAGCAAAGTTGTCTTTTTATAATTTTAGTGTAAATCCCGTAAAAACTCTTCATAAGCATGCATTAACATATATATTTGGTTGTTTCTGCATAATATGATTTTATACAACTTTTATCATGTCTTGTTTCAAAGTCTTTTCGATACAGACAACAAAATAAACGCAATTTCAATAAAGATCGTTTGGGAATACTATTTGAAAATATAACGGGTGATTTTTATCTCAAATACTGAAACTTTAAATTATATATTGATTTCAAAAGCCTTTTAAATAAATTTTACTGAACGTAGTAGGTTAATAGACCCATTACAATAAATATTAGATGTGTGGTTTGGTGTTTGGGGTTAATGTTGTTTAAATTAAAATAATATCCTAATAATTTGCGAGCTTTGCGAACTAAATCAGGAAACCTGTCCAAGCATAAATTGTATATATGCAAGAAAGTATTCCGTACTGTTTGTTAAATGTTATATTAAAATATATTAGCGTTCAAAATATAAGCTTACAAGATGTTAAAATTGTCATTTTTTATAGAGCAAATTAAAGTCAATTATTATTTATATTTACCAGCTTTTAGCCGCAGCGCGGTCGCTTAATTTATGTATTTTATAATTGCCGAATCATGATAATCTATAACCTCCTCAATAAATAGATTTTTTTATGTTAAACTGGTAATTTTATAGATTAGTGCGTAAAAATAAACCAAAAACAGAGTTCCTCAGGCTTTATAACTTAGATTGCGTATTTTATGTATTTAAATTTTGCCTTCCATATGTCAAAACCTTAAAAATATACAAACTTAACCAACTGTATACTAAATATCAAAGATTTTTTTCCGAGAAAACTGAGGTACTAATATCTATACATAATAATAAAATTGTTACTAAGTCGAATCTGTACATTATCTAAATATTTTTTGGAAAATCTAATTGAAATAGAGATTATTATCGATACAGAGTCCGAATCTATAGTTTTTAGAATTTTTGTGTGTCTGTCTTTCTGTCTTTCTGTCTGTCTGTCTGTTACCGCATCACGAGAAAACCACTGGACAGTATTTGATTAAATTTGGTATTATGATAGCTGGTTATCCGGGTCAACATATAGGTTACTTTTTACCGTGGGAAAATATCTCATTTCTGAGAAAAAATACAAAAACTGCATTGTAAGATTATACTAATATGTAAAACCTCAGAATTTGGTTTTTAGTCATCTGAACGCGGGCGGAGCCGCGGGCAATGCTAGTCCATAATATAAATTAATATAATAACTTCATTACAATTTTAGCTTGCGTTTTCATTTAAACTTAAAATATTGTAAAGTCGAGCTATTTAATTATAGTAACTTATTTAGTTTCATATTGCTTCTACGGAATTCTAATATCAAAACAATATTTAATAAGAACGTACGGGACAGGAAAACAACAACCTTTCTAAGCTGTGACTTTCCTAAATTTATATTCTTAGCTCTCAGAATTTTACAGTAATATCATATTTTTCTTTATTTTTACATATAAATTCTATAAATACTCAATGTCTCAATAAATTACCAATTCATTTAATAGATACATTTTAAGTATCTATTAAAACACATGCTATTCTAATTTTTAATCAATTATACAAATAATATTTGCATTAAATATTTTATTAAATTCGATTCAATTTTTCAGTTTTTTTTACGAAATCTTAAGCTTTCTTGATTTTGTTTACTTTTATTCCTACATACAAACATCATTCATCTACGAGAAAAGACAGTGTTCTATAAACTCGTAACTCACTAAACCGAATGCAAAAAATTACCATTAAAAGCTACTTATGTATATAGATGGGATGATGACATTAGGGATGTGGCAGGCGGCACATGGACCAGACTAGCTAGAGATAGACAGATATGGAGAAAATTAGAGGAGGCCTTTGCCAACAAAGGGCAAACAGACAAGGTTGTCGAGTCAGAGTAATCTTGTAAATAAAAAAAAAGAACATATATTGAACTAAAAAATATATAATAAAAAATTAGATAAATATATACATAGAATACGTAAAACTAAACTAAAATCAAATATGTATCTTAAATAATTTGTGTAGAAAGAAAACAACTGAATATAGTTTGTAATCCTTATTGTAAAACCATGACCATGTCTGAATAAAGGCTTATATTATTATTATGTATATATTATTCAAAAGAACGTTGTTTTTTATTTTAATAGTAATAAGTTTCCGTCTGAAATATCACCTAGGGACGCTCTACTTTGATAAAATTTTTAGCATGGATTCAGTTATTTAATCTTAGGACGTAACTATTAAAACAGTTACTGTACTACGAATGTAACTATAATAATTATTTGTCCAGACTCAATTTTCAGTCACTTGAGTTTTATATTGATGAAATAGATTACGGGATTAATATATGTATATATTATTATTATAATAAACATTTGGAAAATTTCCCACACACGCAAAATAGGCGCGCAGACGTCGAGTTTTATCCATACTTAATATTATAAATGTGAAAGTGTGTTTCACGTCGAAACGGAGCGACGGATTGGCGTGAGTATTGGTGTGGGGATAGATGGAGGGCTGGAGAGTGACATATACTACTTTTTACCGCGGGAGATTATCTCATTCCCACGGGAAAATACGATATAATACAACCCAAAAATATATTTTTGATCATAATTACTTAAAATTTTGTATTAATGCTCTTCAATACAATTAAATAAATACGTATTTAGCATTTTTCGGCATTCATCGTGTAAGGGGGTAAAAAAGGGGATGAAAGTTTGTATCAAACCTACTTAGGTTATAAAATAATTTCAATGATACATTTTTCTTGTTGTAAAATAGTAGCAGCACTCTGTAGTTTTGTCCCCACTGTTACTTTTATTTAGTTACTTTATCCTCTTGTTTTAATATGGGGGCGTTTTAATATGTAATATATTATTTTAGACTATTGCCTGTTACATACGACATATATGTTCCATTGATTTTTGTCCATTTATTCTTTATGAAAGTGTTTTAATTGATGTAAAATAATCTAAAATTGTTATTTTTCGAACATCCTCGATACACAGATTTTTCGAAATATATTCAACTAGTGACGAGTTACGTTTTAACGTTTAGTATAAATTTCTCAGAGATGAGATATTTTCCCGCAGTAAAAAATATTCAATATGTTGACCCGGATAACCAGCTATCATCATACCAAATTTCATCAAAATCTGTCCAGTAGTTTCCTCGTGATGCGGTCACAGACAGTCAGACAGACAGGCAGATTTTCTATCTCAGACAAAAATTCTAAAAATTATAGATTCGGCCTCTGTTTCTATAATAATGACTATTTCAATAAGATTTTCCAAAAAATATTTAATGTACAGATTCGACTCAGAATTTTATTTTACGTATGTATGAATGTAAATTGTTGATTACATTTTTTTTTAATAACTGTGAGAATTTATATGAACTACAAATAAAAATTGAGTAAGTGCGAGTATGACTTGCGCACTGATGGTTCTGTACCATTGGCCTTTTTATCCTATATTTAAGCAACTCTAATTTTTTACATTGAAACAATAATATAATTGTCATGTAGGTAGATATAAAACAAATAAACGGGTAGATACAATACAAGCCAACGCCTATTTGTTTTACCAATAAATCATTCAGCGATAGTCCGTCTTTCATTTCATACATTACAATTGGCGCAGTCGGTTTCCTAAAAATAAGTTTAGTTTTTTTTCTTTTTTCATCATACTATGCCTTTTGGAAAAATAGAAACTTTTGAAGTAGGTTCCCATAACTGGGATGCCTATTGTAGAAGAATAAAGCAGTTTATAACATTAAATGACATTAGTGAACATTTGCACGTGGCCACGCTAGTCACACACGTTGGCGTGTCTTGCTACGAGTTAATGTGTGATTTATGCTCCCCGGATTTACCTGAAGATAAAACATTTGATGAGCTCGTGGATATCGTTAAAAATCATCTGGAGCCGCAGAGGTCGGAGATTGCTGAACGCCATATATTTCGGCAGCGGAAACAACTTCAAGGCGAGACTGTGAGTGATTACTTACAAAGTTTAAAGCATCTGGCGAAAACATGTAATTTTCGCGATACTCTAGAAATCAATATAAGGGATCAATTCGTCTCTGGACTTATTAATGAAGATATGAGGTCAAGGTTGTTTGCCGAGCGAGATATCGATTATAAACGTGCTATTGAACTCGCATTAGCATTAGAAGCGGCGGACAGGCACGCAGCAGAGGCGGCGTCCCGGTGCTAGCAAATGGAGTTGCGGAAGGGTTACATAACGTAAGGATGAAGCGTATCGTCGGCGTGACGGCGAGCCGGGACGCAGCGGGCGGCGCGAGCGGCGCTGCAGCGAGCGACGGCGGCGGCGCGCGGCGTGCGTGTTCACGCTGCGGACGCGCGGGGCACGGGCCAGCGAGGTGTCGATTTAAGCAGTACACGTGTGATAATTGTGGACAAAAAGGTCATCTTAAAGTTGTGTGTCAAAATTACAAAAGTGTTAGCGACAGTGAGTACCAGAAACATCATAAAGGTCAGTTCTTTTTAGATGATTCAAGTGACAGTGATTTAAATTTTATAATTTATCATGTAATCGTGATGATAAACCATATTATATCAATTTAAACTATTGAAAAACATTTTATTAAAGTTTGAAATCGATACCGGTAGTAAAATATCTGTTATTTCTAAACAATGTTATGATAATTATTTTGCAAATATTAGTTTACAACACAAGCATCTACGATTAAAATCTTATACGGGAAATATTATTGAACCTCTGGGTTACATATTAGTTAATGTAAAATACAATAATTGTTTGTTTAAGTTACAATTATTTGTTATTAAAAAATGGTGGCCCGCCATTGTTAGGTCGTACTTGGATCAGATGTTTACAAACTTAATATTACAAACTGTTTCAGTATATGTGATAACGATGAAAACATTGATAATTCTATAGAATTACTGCGTAAGGAATTTCCTGAAGTTTTTTGCTGATGGCTGGGACTTTTAAAACACAAATGCAATTGCATCTCGCGATAAAAACACCCATATTTGTTAAGGCGCGGCCGTTGCCTCTGGCCTTAAGGGCACCGGTCGAACGCGAACTTGAGCGATTGCAACGCGAAGATGTCATTTATAAAGTAGATAGTTCCGAATACGGTACACCTATTGTTTCCATAATTAAAAAAAATGGTTCTATACGAATATGTGGAGATTACAAAATAACGATTAATCCGCGTTTAAAAGATTTTCATTATCCTCTTCCCGAATCGAAGATATTTTTGCTACACTCGCGGGGGGTGAGCAATTTTCTAAACTTGATTTGTCCCATGCCTATCAGCAGGTTCTTCTTACAGAAGATTCTAGACCCATGACTGCAATAACCACGCATATAGGTACTTTTGTATATAAGCGGGTTCCATTTGGGATTAAATGTATACCTGAGAATTTTGAAAAACTGATTGAGGAAACTTTGAATGGTTTACCTTGTACTGTTGCATTCCAAGACGATATATGTGTCACTGGGAAAGACAAACAAACCCATTTCGAAAACTTACGTGCTGTGTTATCTAGGTTAAAGGAGGCAGGTTTGCGTGTAAATTGGTCCAAATGTGAATTTTTTAAAAATAGTGTAACTTATCTTGGATATAGAATTGATAAGCTGGGCTTGCATACAGATCCTGAAAAAGTTAAAGCTATTGTCGCGGCGCCATCACCGAATGATTTTACGCAATTAAAAAGTTTTTTAGGCCTTGTAAATTTTTATAGTAAATTTTGTGTTAACATGAGTAGTGTTCTTAGACCTTTGTATAACTTGCTAAAAAAAAAATGTAAAATGGTACTGGAGTTCGGGAGTGTGAATGCGCTTTCAACAAAATTAAAAAAATATTAATTAGTTCCCGGTATTAGCTCATTATGACGCGAAACTTGCCCTTGCTCTTATCAGTCCGACAGCAGTGCGTACGGTTTAGGTGCAGTGCTATCTCACCGCTATCCCGACGGCACGGAGCGACCGGTCAGTTGCGCTTCTCGCACGCTTAATGACGCCGAGCGAAATTATTCGCAAATCGACAAAGAAGCACTGGCAATAGTTTCGGTGTTACAAAACACCACCAATATTTATTTGGTAGACACTTCATTCTGAGAAGAAGCGATCATCGAGCTTTTAAGCTATATTTTTGGGAAAAATAAGGGTATTCCACAAACGCGGCTAGTCGTTTGCAAAGATATGCTTTACGTTTAGCAGCTTATACTTTTGACATAGAATTTATACCTTCTACGAAAAAATTGCTTTGCTGATGCATTATCTCGCTTTACCATTACACATACATAAGACTAAGAATAAAGTGCAAAAGAATGAAAATAATAGCTATTTTATTTTTTATTCAAGATAAATTGCCTGTAACATTTCATGAAGTAAAAAATGAAACTAGTAAAGATTTAATTCTTAATAAGATAGTTAGTTTTGTTAAATTCGGTTGGCCTAAGGAGTTAAATAATAAACATTTATAAGCCATTTTATATAAGACGAGATAATTTATTTTTGGAACAAGGTTGTTTAGTTTGGGGTTATCGTATTGTTTATACCTAGCAAATTACAAGCTTTTGTTTTAGACGAGTTACATGCGGGGCACATAGGTGTTGTTAAAATGAAACAACTGGCGCGCAACTATGTCTGGTGGAGCGGTATTGACTCGGATATCGAACGTGTGTGCCGCGAGTGTAAGCCATGTTGCGCGCAACGCGCTCAGCCCCCGCCAGCACCACTTCACACATGGGAATGGCCTAACTGAACCTTGGATTCGATTAAATATAGACTTTTTAGGTCCGTTCCGGAATAGGTATTATTTAGTACTATTAGATGCTCATTCTAAGTGGTTGGAAGTAGATTGTGTAGTCAACACATCTGCTCCTATTGTTATCGCAAGTTTACGTAAAATATATTTTCTAGGTTCGGTCTACCTAAGTGTATAGTAGTGACAACGGACCGCCATTTTCTCAAACCAGTATTGTTCGTATTTAAATAATAACGGTATTAAAAGAGTTTTAGTGTGGCTCCGTATCATCCCTCTAGTAATGGTGCAGCCGAAAATGTAGTAAAGACAGTTAAGTTAGTATTAAAAAAGGCAGTTTTACAAAATGAAAATATTGATGAGGCCCTTTGCAAATTTCTATTCACTTACAGAAATACTGAGCATTGTACAACACAAAAAGAACCTTCGGTAGCACTTATGGGTCATAGGTTACGCGGAAGGTTAGATCTCTTGCGTCCGAGTACTCGCGGATGTAGTGCTTGATAAGCAACAGGCACAACAAGCTCGTCATGGAGGGGTTGTGCGAGACATGTCCCCCGGGGACCGAGTATTGGTTCGAAATTATAACGACAGCTTAGTTAAATGGAAGGAAGGGGTAGTAGTAGAAAAAAGGGGGCCGGTCTCCTATGTTGTTTAAAACAGATAGCGATGATCGTATTAGTAAAAGACACGTTGACCAGTTATTAAAGAAAAATGTACGATTTTCGCGTTATTCGTTGCCGACATCAAATTGTACTCAGCCATCCAGTCCTTATAAGGCAGATTCTTTAATAAATACATCTTCAACATCTATATTCCAATCTCCTTTGTCAGATAAAAATAGTTCGGAACTGAATAATGACAATAGGAAAGCGCAGTCACCTCCGTTGTATCCTACTGAACCGTCACATTCACAATCATTAAAGCCTCAGCCTGAAAAATATGTTTCTCATGGTATGACGTTAAGACCTCGCAAAAAAGTATTGTAAGTTAGAGTTTAAGACATTAATATTGTACGGGACGTATACTAATTTGTTGTCCTTTATAACATGTATTCTTAGATTATGCTTAGTTTAACTTTAACTGTATTCTTAAAGAAGTTGTTTTGTTAATTGTTTTAATGATTACATTACTTAATTAAAGGAGGAGAAAATGTCATGTAGGTAGATATAAAACAAATAAACGGGTAGATACAATACAAGCCAACGCCTATTTGTTTTACCAATAAATCATTCAGCGATAGTCCGTCTTTCATTTCATACATTACAATAATATTGACTCATTTATTATCAGTATTTTTTATCAAATGCAATAATACTAATATATTCTATTGTATTTCTGTGAATAACAAACTTATTTTAGCGATCCAACAAGTGCTACTGTGTAACTTGCGAGTTAGAACTTGACAACTTAGTGAAAACAAAATAGTGGCTTAGTTATGTCTATCTCAATTTTAAAATCAATACTGACATCTTCATCTTTTTCACCCCTAGTTGCCATGGATATTGCCATAATAATTCCTAATGAATTCTAACTTCAGTCATATATGGGCGGTGTACCATGCGGGTCCTATCATCATATCATCTTAGTACTTCTCTGATAGCAGTGTGGACCGTAGGAACAACCCCCAGATTGTTGTGGTATACTTCGTCAGACCTGCCATCGGGGCGTCGTGGTTGAGGACATAAGCGATATTAGTGGGGATTACTGGATTTTTAGTAGTATCCAAGTAGTAATATGCAGGTGGTATCTTTCGCCAGTTCTTCTCAGGTCTGAGGCTTCTTCTTTCCGAACTGGTAGTAGACTCATGACGTTCAGTAAAAAATTGTAATAATTTAATGCTGAATAAAATATTTTGAATTTGAATTTGAGTATGCGTAAATGCATTTCCCATTATTACAAAAAGGAACCCAAATAAAAGTAGGTACATATCTATTTAACACATCAATTCATAATAATTTAATTTGTTTGGGATAATAAGCTTAACAATATTTAGCACGAGATTATAGTTAGTTTGCGTGAAATAATTATAATTTGAATGTTCGTATTACGTAGCGCTAAATACAATTCATGCTATTATTCGCACGTGTTTGCGTAACAGTGATGCTATGAACTAGCTAAGTCTAATGCGAGCATTAAGTATTAAGACTGTTAACATATGAATATCAATTAATTTCAACTTGCTATCTAAGGAACACTTGTCATATACGTATATTAGTCCCCTGAATTTGCATGAATATTTTCTCAAATTCTTTTAATTTCTTAGGTTAGGGTTTTAAAATTATTATTACATACAGTTTCACTGCTGGGTAGGGGGTTCTAAGGTGAGTGGGATCAGGTTATAGTCTAACAGGCTCGTCGATTGCGGGTATATTACGTCATTAAAGGTTTTCTCGGTCATGTAGAGTTCTTCATAATATTTTTCTGAACCGTAAGGCAAGTGGTAATTATATTAAACCGCGATACACACATAAAATATCGGAGGTGCGAGACTCAGGGCTTGAACCTTCTTTACTTGGTTGTCCAAGCGAGCACGTTAGCATTGGGCTACCACTGCCGATAAATAATGTTTAAACGTTTATAAGAATCTTCACATAATATAGCTTAAATAAAAAGTAGGTATTAGATGATTAGACTAGAAAAAGTAAGGAAATTTTCAATTTCATATTTTTATTCTAGTCTGATCAAAGGCTGTTATTGTTTATTTCAATGGTTCAGTGGCCAAATACTATTAAAAAGCTCCTTATGATGTTCTTATGATAAAACCGATTAAATTAAAAGGATTTTTCATAATTTTATAAGAGCTTTCTCTAGATTTCATGAATTATATTTTTTACACATTCTACAAAATCGTCAAATGCAAGAAACTTTTCGGTGTTAGATAAGTTATATAAAAGTTATATTGTTATGATAAAACCTTGACACCCTTATGGTGTTAATCTTTTATCTTGATTTATTTTATTATATTTAAAAAGTCTAATAAAAGAGACTTGCAAAATTGAAAATGTGATATGACTTATAAGTATTAAAAAGCCACTTTTTATGGTCTTTATATTAATTTAAGGAAAAATGACATAAAGATCATAAATTAATATAGCTTAAAAATGTAGTTAGTGACATATTTGAAGAGCTGCAAAGTGATGAAAATGAATGTCCGCAAGCAAACAATATTAAAGTAGTTCTCAATATCGAATATAATATATAAAAAGCGGCATGAAATTTTCGACTAGAACAGTCAGACAGAAGAATGACTTTGTAAAGATAGGGCAGACTCCACTGGGAGTAGCGCCTAGCCTGCTATCTGAACCATCTCATCTGCTCATAGTCTGAAAGACTGATCGCAAGATATAATATAATAAAAAAAAAGTTTTCAATATCTGTTCATCACTTTGAGTTTGTCAGACTTGAGATGATATGTATGTGAACAATCCACATGTATAGCGGGGAATTGTCGTGATTACAATTAATAGATATTTTAAATGGACATTCACCTCGACGAAATGTTTAACATGTTTCTTCGGCGATAACAGGACCATTATAATAGATAGTTATATTGAACCTAAATTTAATGGAAATAGCATTTCGTGTCGATGTGACCGTATGTTGATATATTGCATTTTTTACTACATATATATATTTATATGTAGAAGCCATTATAACTTTGCGGGTTATCCGATACCTGCGCTGTACCGGATGTCGATAAAATATTCTTTTGGAGCAATAACTTATACCATAAATTATACTACAAAATTATTTAATAATTATAAAAATTAAATTTAAAATGTCTCTGAAACTGTTTTCGTAAAATGGGTTTGTTGGATATTTTTAAACACATTTTAAGTAGCAAGTGTTTATCATTCCTTATGTATTAAGGAATAAAATCTTAAGATTTATTTTCGTATAAAAGTTAATCGAAACGTCGCGTCGTCTAGACATACATATATTATTGTCAGTGCGACCGTAACACTTGTTAAATTTAGATATTCAACTTTTTTTTCGTAATATTTTACCTTTGTCATATTTCAAATTTTAACGAAATATTTTGTAGCGATAATGCATTAATATATCAATTGTTTTTTATGAATCATAGCTACTTTATACGCAGCGCATTCGCAGCTCACGAATTAATTGGTAATAAATAAGTCATAAAATTTCTATGGCTCGCTATACTATCATTCAAGAAAGCTAAATGTCGTACACATGAAAATAGTAAAAACAAACTTTTATCCTATTGGAGTATCTATAGTAAAAAATGTTATGCTATGTTTTTATGATAAGGTAACCGTTAGACTGTTTGTTTTGATAGTAAATTAAATTTTCTGAGCAAAATAGAGATATTATTTAAATCATACATTCATGTATGCTAATTATCGTCGTTGTTGTCTCAGCCCAAACAGGTCCACTTCTGGACATAGGCCTCCCCCAAAAATCTCCACGACAACCGGTCTTGTGCCATACACATCCAGTGGGCTCCAGCGACTTTGACCAAGTCGTCGGTCCACCTCATAGGAGGCCTGACCACGCTTCGTCTTTTGGTACGTAGCCGCAACTCGAGAACTTTTCGTCCCAAACGACCATCTGTTCTGCGAGCGATGTGCACCGCTCACCCGCCCACGCCACTTGAGGTTGTATATTTGTCGGGCTATGTCGGTGACTTTGGTCCTTCTACGTATATCCTCATTCCTGATTCGGGGAAACCCCGGGCATAGCCCTCTCCATTGCTCTGTGTATCTTGAGCTCTCTTATCAGGCCCATCGTGAGCGGCCACGTCTCTGTGCCATATATGTATATATGCCACATATGTATTGCCAACACACACTGGTCGAAGACTGGTCTTTAGATACTGCGGTATTTAAGACGAGAAGATGTTGCGTAGCTTCCCGAACGCTGCTCATCGGAGTTTGATCCGTCGATTAACATCTTTCTCGAAGTTGGACCTACCTAGTTGGACAGTTTAAATATCAATTTTCATGTCTCTTAGTTTTAAAAGGACAAAATCTCCAATTTCTCGTCTTCTAGTTTTTTTTTATCTCTAGAGTCATTATTTAGAGTCATATCCATTATTTTGATCGAGGTAAATTAAAAAATAATGAATTTTCATACAAACTTTTACCTTTAATTGATTTCTAAAAATCCTTTCTTAGCGGATACCTACAGGAATTTTATGTTTGTAACATTAATGAATTCTGAGATTTCCTGATTAATCAGTGAGTATATTTTGTTTTTATATACCTGGTACTAGCGACTTACCGTCGCTTCGCTCGGCTGCGTCTCTTCGGGTATGTTTTAAATAGATAAAAATATTTGTTGTGAGCGTACATTAGGAAATAAGACACATGGCTTCGCGAACTTTTCAGTTGGCATATTTCAATTTTTTTAAGGCCTACAATTTTCTCGCACTTTATTTTAATGTATATCTATAAGTTTAGCTAGCGTTAACTATATAATCATAGGAAAACTATTTTTTTTTCAAAACACCGATAGCTCAGTCATTTTGTGCAATATATTTACACGAAAATTATATACACAAACCTTTCTTGTTTATCGTTTCTCCCTATTAGCGAAAACTGTATCAAAATGCACCATTTAGTGGCAGAGGCAGACATGAGACAGCGACAGTTTTATACTATGTATAGACAGATATAGATGAGCGAATTGTGCACGAACTAAATTTTGTATGAAAATGAGAGATTTTATCGCCCTAAATGGTTAAATATGTTAATTTTTAACCCTGCTACATTGATGTGTCTTCACATGGGAGTGCGAGATTTTCTTTTAGTAAAATGTATGATAAGCGTTGACCCAAGTAGTTAATTTTACAAATTAAATACTAAAAATAATAATATTTAAAATACGATAAGTAATGTTCGTGTGAATTGTGAAGTGCACACAGATATACAGACAAACAGACAACAAAAATTTCAACGATTGTTTTGGGGTCTATATTCTGTACACAATACGTAACATTCATTGTTTTAAAAAAAAA